ACCGTTGCTAGGCAGCAAGAAAAACAACCAGGCCTTCGGAACCAACAAACGGCATGAAAAAACCTCGAAGCAAATGAAGCAGTCTACTTCATTCAAGGGCCCGAAATGCAGAAAATGTGCTCGGTACGGACACATCGCCAGGGACTGCAAGGATTCATGGAAAGGTGAAACATTTTGCACGGTTCTATCTACGTTTGGCAAGAAGGATGCGGACGACTGGATTTTCGATTTTGTGGCGTATGCACTTATGACGTGCAATCGAGAGCTCCTCACAAATCTGGATCAAGCAGACGGTAAGGTTGTTGAACCTAACGGTGGCGTGATGGATATCGTTGCCTGCGGAACGGCAAATCTTCGATCGGTGTGCAGGGATGCTCAAGACAACGTTGCAGTGAGTGACGTGCAGCATATTCCTGGGTTGACGGTGAATCTTCTCTCGGTCAGCAGAATCGTGCAGAAGGGGTATTCCGTAACTTTCAACAACGATGGCTGCAAAGTGCACAACGCAAACGACGAGCCACTCCAACAATCAATTCAAGCTGGACCAGGCAGCGAATAACACACAGGTTTTGTCGTGTAATGCTGCTGAAAGTCTCGATCTCTGGCACAAACGCATGGGTCATCTTGGTGTCGGAAATTTGAAGAAGCTTACTGGTTGCCTTGCGACAGGGATTACACTGAATGTTGAAGCTAGCGCTGCAGACTGTCGCGTTTGCCCTATGGGAAAGCAGTCAAAATTGCCGGTTCCAAAAAGCGGATCCCGTGCGTCGGAGGTGTTACAACTGGTTCATTCGGATATCAGTGGACCGATGGAGATGAATTCGATTGGCGGTAATCGGTTTCTACATTACTTTCATCGATGACAAAACTAGACGCATGTTCGTGTACTTCCTGAAACCCAAATCAGAAGCCGAGGTGTTAGCAGTTTTCAAGAAAGAAGCGTTGAGTGGAAGAAAGTCAAACCTTTCACATGTTCGTGTTTTTGGAACGAAAGCCATGGTCCAGGTTCCAAAGCGAAACGTCGCAAGTGGGACCCCAAATCCCACGAATGCGTGCTCACGGGAATCGACGAAGAAACCGAGGGATATCGTCTATACGACCCGAAGAAGAAGGTAACTATCAAGAGCCGTGAAGTCGTTTTCCTGGACGAAGGAGTCCCATCTGAAGCTGTAGGTCCTGATGCTCGGCGTAGCAAGGCAACGTTTGCCAGACTGGAAGTCGAGGAACCGTTCGAGGCCGTATTAGAGCCGATCATTCCAATTGATCCGACCGAGCCTTGCGAATCGGATACAGAAGACGAGAACCATGAAGCAGATGATTCAAGCGGCGATAACGATACCAACACATCCACATTGACTGATCTTGTGCTCCCTCTGCGACAAACTTCAGAACCACCTCGGTCAAAGGTCGTACGTGCTTCCAGGCAAGTACACAGATTTTCACGTTGATAGTACTGGCCTTCCTGGTATCTCACTTTCACAGCCAATCTCCGATGAATCGAGCAACTTCCTTGGTTTCCCCGTTGACGATAGTACTGCTGGACCGAGCGACAACGACGGTCTAGTGGCATTAGCATCTGGCATGGATGGCAAATTCGGGGACGACCCCGTTTTTCATCAAGAAGCATTGGCTCGGGACGATAGCAATGCGTGGAAGCGTGCCATGCAAGAGGAGTTGGACGCACTGGTGGACAACAACACCTGGACCCTCGCCAAGCTAACGAAGGGAAGGAAGGCAATCAAGTGCAAATGGGTGTACAAAACGAAACGTGATGCTGTAGGAGGAGTTCAACGATACAAGGCGCGGCTGGTCATCAAAGGCTATTCACAGTGAAAGGGGGTAGACAACGGTGAAACGTATGCTCCCGTTGTTCGCTATAGTTCGCTGAGATACCTTTTCGCCCTGGCTGTCAAGCACGACCTCACGATCGACCAGATGGATGCAGTGACGGCTTTCCTGGAGGTGACCTCGACGAAGAAATATACATGGAACAGCCCCCATGCTTCGTTGACGGAAGAAGGAAGACCGAGGGGTGCAAGCTGAACAAGGCGTTGTACGGCTTGAAGCAGTCCAGCCGAGTTTGGAACCACAAACTGGATGCGGCGATTTGGCCTGGTATCAACGCAATACGATCCTTGCGTCTACGTCTGCATTTAAAATGGCAAAATTCTTATTGTTGCTATTTATGTAGACGATTATCATTATTCAGTAACGACGAGACATGGAAAAATATGCTGAAGCAACATTTTCCGGATGAAAGATCTGGGACCTGCGAAACACTGTCTTGGGATCCGGATCGGCAGAACAACTGACAGGATAACGTTGGATCAAGAAGCCTACATCGAAACGATTTTGAAGTGGTTCTACATGGATCGGTGCAAACCAGTGAAGGTACCGATGAACACTAGCGAGAAACTTTCCAAGGATGCGAGCCCGAAGGATGACGAGGAGTCTGCGGCTATGAAGGATGTTCCGTATCAGGAAGCTGTCGGGTGTCTTATGTATTTGGCGCAAAGCACTCGACCGGACATACTGTTCGCCGTGAATACCCTCAGCCGGTTTAACAATAATCCAGGTATCAAGCACTGGAATGCGGTGAACCATGTTCTGCGTTACTTACGTGGAACCTCAAACATGAAGTTGGTCCACAACAAGCATAGTCGGCTACTGCGACGCGGATTGGGGATCCGATCCGGACGAACGTAAGTCAACCAGCGGCAACGTTTTCATGGCTCAAGGCGGCGCTATTTCGTGGTCATGCAATAAGCAACCTATGGTGGCGCTATCGCCGTGTGAGGCGGAATATATGTCCGTTTCGACTGCGGTACAGAAAGCGTCCTGGTGGCGAGGACTTTCTGCGCTATTCAACGAAGAAAGAGAAATGGAAATCCGCTGCGACAACCAAAGCTGTATTGCAATCGCCAAGAGTGGTGGTTATAATCCACGCACGAAGCATATCGACATACGCCATCACTACATCAGGGACGCTTTGGATCGTGGTGTGGTGAAACTGGTTAACGTTGGCACGGAGGAGCAGATCGCTGATGGATTAACCAAACCATTGCAGAGGACGAAGTTTGAAGAGAGCCGTACGATGATGGGAATCTCTGCGGCTTGAGGAGGAGTGTTGTGTAGTGTATGTGATATGGTTGATATAAAATAAAAATTAATTTACTTTAATTTCGTGTGAAGTCGACAAAGTGCATTTGGCAACACTGGGAGTCGACACACATGACATAACTAGACGATTCATACGCGCCGAGAACAGTTGAGTATGAGCTTCGGAAAGCTCCGAATACACAAATGTGATTCGTGTCATGGAAAACGAAGATCGGCTTCGAGACGACATCAGACATCACACGAGGGAGATAGAATAAATGATTGTTGTGATGCTCTGGGATAGAAGAGTGCCAAAGGATGGATGACTGGTTCATCGAGCTAATTCAGGCTGGCTAGTCGCTCGTCTCGCATTCTTGTGTCTAATTTTGAAACGGATGGACGTTGCTGATCAACGCGGGATGGTTTGGCTGGCGTCGTTCCAGTGACAAAAGATCGAGGCTTGCAACCTCGATCTGAGTTCACGACAATATGGATTACGAAATGCGCTGCCACGTGAACCAACAGCAGGAGGAATCCTAGATCAATTGATCCAACTTCTTGGTGGCTCTGTGTCTTCCGGCTGTACTGCGGATGGACGTTCACGAAATGTTGAAGTGAAGCTGTTAGCAATCGAAGCAAGCCTTGACATTTATACTTAATTGTTAACGTCTTAAATAAAATTAGGTCTTCTCTAACCACTACCAAAGACAGACGTCTTTAGCTACTCTCTACACAAGCTTATTGTTTGTCACACATTAGCTTATTGCGTGCTCCCAACTTAGCGTTCTAAAAGCACTTCCACAGTTATTGATTGAGAGCTTTCGATGCCTGTACCATTTTTGCATTAGCAGAATTGTGTGGCAAGTACAATCATACTCTATGCCCAGGGAAGTCGAAAATTTTCCAACCCGAAAAATTCCTATACCGGACCGGGAATCGAACCCAGCCACCTCCAGCATGGTCTTGGCTTTGTAGATGTGCCTTTACCGACAGAGCTTAGGGACGCCCCGCACTAATCAAGGCAAACCTAATCCAAGTTAGTTGAACCCGCGCTGTGATGTAGACTGATGGACAATTTTGCCTGCGAGTGTGCGCTCGCGCCATGAGTTCCGATCCGACAGGCAAACCAGTTTAAATTACCCGTTCCCCGATGGTTAGTAGGTATAGCAACAACACCTATAACTACACACATCTACCTATAGGTCTAAAAATGCGAAATAATCGGGGGGAGGCTCGTTCGTTGCGTGTTTAGTTTCGAATTATGCCAGCCACATTTTCCACTCCTACTAGTTGTTGCTGCTGTTGTTCTAGTACTAGTTCTATAGGGTTCTAGAGAGAAACGGAAAAGCCACTTGCCATCATCAGTGAGCAAGTGGACATGGAACGAAACCGCTGCGCGGCCGTCGTCGTTCCTATTTTTGCTGCTATTATCAGTCGCAATTTACCGTTATACACTTATCTTATCATCAATACCACCGACTGACTAATGATAGCAAAGTATCGAAAATTGATTTCTCATTAGCGAGAAACAACATCGCCGAAACTAAAATTGGTCAACCTCAGGCAAGGTAGCGTGATGAGTCAGTTGGTGACGAACAGCTAGAAGGCAGTGAGTGATTTGTGGTGAAAACCTTTATCGGAGAAAGAGGAAGGCGGTAAAAAATCAATAATTCACTCTGGTATAATTTCTACTTTCATTGACTAAAAAAAAAAGAGTTGAAGTTACGCCATGGCTGCATCCTAAGTGCATAACCTTGCGGTGGTCCCTGTGAACGAAGAAGACAAAAAGCGAAAGAGAGAGAGCATGTGGAAAACGGTTTCCAAGCGATTGGCTCATTAACATAAAACAATAACAAAAGAGTGAAAATAACAACAATAACAAAATTCACACAACCCCTAAGTACAGTGCGGCGGCGCGGTGGTGAGTGGATTTAATTCAAAGTAGAGTAACAGAGAGAGAGAGTGTGTACTTAATATAATAAAACAAAAATCAGTGTGCTGTGAGTGACTAACCAAAAAAATAAATCAAACGGTTCATGCATGATGGCCGATGCTACTAACAATAGCAGTAGTACTAGTAACAACACAGCATCGGCAACCTCCGGCGAGCCGATTCCCCAGTGGAAGAAGGAACTGCTTCAGCGCCGGAAGAACCTCGCCAAAACGATCGGAACTGCTGCGACGCAGGTCCACGACAGTGCTTCCACGGTGGCAGCGGCACTCACGACGACACCGACGACGCCGCGGGTCGGCGGCCCGAGCGGCGGGAACCCCTTCGGAAGCGGTGGCCAGAAAGGTACTATTATCATGATGGTTTCATTTTCTTTATTTATTACGTGTTTATCTTGAGTTTCCTCCGACCACCCCGGCACCTCTGTAATGGTTGTTTTTGCGATGATAACACATACCTACCCGAAATAATAAAAAAAAATACGTTGTCAATCAGTACCTGGTTTCACTTTTATGATGCGGAATTCCATGGCAAAATGAACAAAGTAACTGCTTTGTTTAAAAACAAAGGCAAACAAATACGCCTGAATATAGTCCAACACGATTGAGCTTCTAGATACAGATTTTGTAATAGAAAAATCCAAACCAATAGTCGTTGTTCATTTTGGCATGGAATTTCTCCGCAACTGCGTGTACAGAACCGTTCATATTTGTGTTTTCAGACAGAGTGTGTTGGGCCTTATGAATTATTGTCGTGGTTTGTACATTTTTGTCTGACAATTCCGGGGTATCCTGGTACGCGGGCTAGAACGTGATAAAACTGATAACAGAGTGACCGGCACCGACACCGTGGGTTAATGATAGTAGGTATTTGCGGTAGTTGAGTTGAATATTATTTAACCATCCACATGTTCTGGCGTTGTATAAAATGGGGCCTATTGTGTGGATCTTTTTTTTGGTAAACATTTGGTTGGCAATTGTCAAAATTAAACGGGTTGTTGCATTCCTCGAAGTGTTGATACAAGTGTCGCTTCCTCGAATTGAGTTCGTTAGGTTCAGGGCACACATAGTTCAGTTTAGTAACATTCCACAGGTTTTGGAAATATTCCAATTACATTAATGGCCCGATTTTGTCGGCCCTCCGCGCATCATGATCATGATACCCGTAATTCCAAATCTTTCTCATTAATCTTCAAGATAGATGTTTAAAGCATACTTTGATGCAATAAGACGAGGGGTGATTCAAATATAATATCCACTCTTTAAGGGGGAGGGGGATCCTAGAGTTTGTGACAGGTAAAACAATTAGATTTAGGCTGACAAAATCGGGTCATTACTGTTGTAGTAATGTTGAAATACTAAAATTAATCCAAGGGAAATTTGGGAGAAGAATACTCGAATGCCAACTATTGCTCTTCTGTCACTGTATGTGCTACAAAAACACCTATTAAAATTTGCTTTCATTTGTTTCAAGATAATCATAGGTAACAAATTGTCCAATGTACAGTTTAAAATGATGGGTGCTTGATTGTTACTTCGGTCATTGGTGCTCATTTTCTAAAGGCTGAATTCTGTGAAAGGGTATCTTTGAAAAGTATCTAAAGCTTGAAAACTTACTAAAAGCAAAGAAACAAAATTACTGGCATACTTTTATCGAGAGAATTTTCAATGGCTCTTCTTTCATCTAATGACTCTGCTCCGGGAAGCGATTTGATCAAATTCGACCTTCTAAAAAACCTCCACGATATCGCTAAAACACGATTACTTAACCTATATAATTCATTTATGGAATTCAATATAGTTCCACCAGCATGGAGACAGGTTAAAGTAATAGCTATTCAAAAGCCTGGGAAACCAGCGTCTGATCACAATTCTTACCGTCCGATCTCTATGTTATCATCCCTGAGGAAATTATTAGAAAAAATGATCCTATCAAGACTTGACCATTGGGTTGAATCAAGCAACCTACTTTCAAATACGCAGTTTGGTATCCGAAAGAGTAAAGGAACAAACGATTGTCTAGCGATGCTTTCACCTGATATTCAACTGGCCTTTACGCACAAGGAGCAATTGGCTTCAGTCGTTTTGGATATTAAGGGCGCATTTGATTCTGTTTCCATAGACATACTGTCAGACAGTCTGCACAGTAGTGGATTACCCAGTATTTTAAATAATTTATTGTATAATTTGCTGTCAGAAAAACAAATGACCTTCAATCTAGGTCAACTGTTCTTCTTCTTTTTATCCTGGTCCTACATCCCTCAGGATTGCACCTGCATGACAATGTTGCGCCAATTCACTCGGTCCGTGGCTGCTTGTTTCCAATTTCTTGACCGTCCCACACTTCCAAGATCCTGCTCCACTTGGTCTAACCACCTTGCTCGCTGTGCTCCTCTTCGTCTTGTACCGGCCAGATTCGCGGCAAATATCATTTTTGGGGGATTGTTGTCCGACATTCTTAAAACGTGTCCCGCCCATCGTACCCGTCCAGCTTTTGCAACTTTCTGGATACAGGGTTCACCATAGAGTTGCGCCAGCTCGTGGTTCATCCTTCGCCTCCATACACCGTTCTCACATACCCCGCCAAAGATGGTCCTAAGCACTCGTCGTTCGAAAACACCCAGTGCTTGCAGGTCCTCCTCGAGCATCGTCCACGTCTCGTGGCCGCAGAGAACTACCAGTCTTATCAGCGTCTTGTACATGGTACATTTACTACGGAGGTGAAGCTTACCCGACCTCAGGGTCTTGTGGAGTCCGTAGTAAGCACGACTTCCGGCAATAATACGCCGACGGATTTCTCTGCTGCAGTTGTTATCCGACGTCACCAATGATCCGAGGTCCACAAATCCATCCACCACCTCGAACTCATTTCCGTCGATTGTCACGCTTCTGCCTATGCGAGCCCTATCCCGCTCGGTTCCTCCAGCTAACAGATACTTTCTCTTCGACGTATTCACCTTTAATCCAACCTCCTTTGCTTCACGTTTCAGCCTGGTGTACTGCTCCGCCAAGGTCTGAAACGTTCTTCCGACAATGTCCACGTCGTCAGCGAAGCAGATGAACTGGCTGGACTTATTTAAGATCGTGCCCCGCATGTTAAAGCCCGCACGTTTCTTAAAACCTTCTAGCGCAATGTTGAACAGGAGGCAGGAAAGACCATCGCCTTGTCGAAGTCCTTTGCGAGTTTCAAACGAGTCCGATAAAGCACCCGATATCTTCACGCAGCACTGTACACCATCCATCGTAGTCCTGATCAGTCTGGTCAGCTTCCCGTGAAAACTGTTCTTCGTCAATAGTATCATAGGCGGCCTTGAAATCGATGAATAGGTGGTGCGTAGGGACTTGATATTCACGACACTTTTGGAGGATCTGCCGGAACGTAAAGATTTGGTCCGTTGTCGTTCGCCCGTCCACAAATCCGGCTTGATTTTTTTTTTTAAATAATTCGTTTATTTTTCCAGGCTCATTTGCTGTAGCTTTGCGGAGCCGATATTCATTGTTTAGATAACAAAATTACTTAAAACTAACGTTAGTAAAGTGGGGGCCGATTACTCGAGGTTAGGGGTAACAAATTGTAACAAATGGATGGCAGGGTAGGGATTGTGAACACAAGGTTTGGAGAGCAATGTGCTCTTGATCTCGAACTAGGCGACACTCTGATGAAAAAGACAAACATGGGGGTACACCGATGGGTAGCTAACAACTTGGGAGAACACAAGATGACACTAACTTCTAAATCCTCAAATCTATCCGTTTTAAAAACACATAAATTAAATTCAAATAGTCAAGGTCTCGGCTCGCCAAGACATCTCTAACGGGTATCGCGGGTTGTTTTCCTCGGGCCCTGAGGGATGTGGATAACTCAGATCTGGCAACACGGTGTAAGGTACACGACCAAACAACATGCTCGATATCGTGATAACCACTGCCACACGCACATCAATTGCTGCCTGAGAGCCCAATTCGATAGAAGTGCGAGTCTAACGAGCAGTGATTGGACATAAGCCTTGATATAACGCGTATAAAGTCGCGGCTCATGTCCAACCCTTTGAACCATGGTTTGTTCGACACATGTGGGAGAATAGAATGTAACCATCTTCCCAATTCACCATTATTCCATTTTTGTTGCCAACTGATGAGGACTTGCTGGCGAGCAATGGAGAAAAATTCGTTGAAGGCGATTTGTCGCTCAAAAATATCGCCTTCCATAGCGCCCACCTTAGCCAATGAGTCCGCTTTCTCATTACCCGGAATTGAGCAATGAGATGGGACCCAAGCTAAGGTGATAGTATAGGAGCAGTTAGATAAAGCACTCAGTTTAGTTCGTATTTCAGGCAGGAAATACGAGGAGTGCTTCATCGGCCTCATTGAACGAATAGCCTCCAATGAGCTAAGACTATCCGTAAAAATGAAATAATGGTCAGAAGGTAATCCGGCTTGATAACTTCCCACAAATCTGCTTGCTAGTGGCGATAAACGGCGAAAGATGATCTGGGAAAGCACTTAGTAGGCCGCGTTAAGAATAGTGATCGCTCGATAGTTCTCACATTCTAGTTTATCGCCTTTTTTATATACTGGGCATATTACTCCCTCTTTCCAGTCCTCCGGTAGCTGTTCTGTATCCCAGATCCTGACTATCAGTCGGTGCAGACAAGTGGCCAACTTATTCGGGCCCATTCTGATAAGTTCCGCTCCGATACCATCTTTCCCAGATGCTTTGTTGTTCTTGAGCTGTCGGATAGCATCCTTAACTTCACCTATCGTGGGAGCTGGCATGTCCCCCTCATCCGCTGTACCGACGAAGCCATTCCTCCGGCCGCCTTGGTCCTCCGCCTCTGCACCGTTCAGGTGTTCATCGTAGTGCTGCTTCCACCTTTCAATCACCTCACGTACGTCCGTTAAGATACCCCCTTCCTTATCCCGACACATTTCGGCATGCGGCACAAAGCCTTGGCGGGATGCGTTGAGTTTCTTGTAGAACTTGCATGTTTCTTGAGAACAATACAGCTGCTCCATTTCTTCGCACTCCAGCTCTTCCAGGCGGCGCTTCTTTTCCCGGAAAAGATGGGTTTGCTGTATTCGCTTCTGTTTGTATCGCTCCACATTATGATGGGTTCTTTGCTGCAGCATCGCCGAGGCATTGCACGTACTCAGTTGCGACTTCGGGCAGCTTCAGTCGCTCCAGATTGTATCGTGGCGGGCGTCGGTATCGAATGTTGTTGGCAACGGAAAGTTTTTGGCGCACCTTGACCATTAGAAGGTAGTGGTCCGAATCGATATTTGTGCCGCGATAGGTCCTGACGTAGGTAATGTCCGAGAAGTGCCTTCCGTCGATCAAAACGTGGT